AATCAAATTAGTAGCACGAGCGCAACTCTCTTGGAATGTCCAATAGCTTTCCCCCTATCATTCGATCAATCAAATTGCCGCAACATACAATCAATCAGAATTATGTTTGTTTCATTTTGTGCTGTTAGCTAAGGATGTGGAGAGTGTGAGTGTATCGGTAGAAAGCGTACTCCTTTCTTGTAGGCCGGCATCGCATTTGTGATACTCCTGGTGTTGCAAGTGTCCATGGGCGACGGTGATCACTTACCATCAGATGAGCCGTCTGCTCGTATGCCTCCTATAACATAAAAAAAAAGAATAAAAAAAAAAGAAAAAAATATCGGCAGAGAGATGGTGGCAGTTCCTGCATCTTAGTCGAAAACATACAAAAACTCATTTTCACTATTAGTAAACACCGAGTTAATAAAACATTTCATATCTTTCTTTTACTTATATTGCTACTTAAACGAAAAACGTTAAAAGACTCATCATCAGCCTATTAATGTCCCCACTGCTGGGGCATAGGCCTTTTCTAGGCGTGGACACGACCCATCACGCGGGGCCATTACGGATTGGTGGGTGCTACCGACTTCAGGTGCAGCTGGGATCAACCGCTTAACGGGCCTTCGGAAGCACGGAGGAGTTCGAGATTTTGGTCACCCATCCAATGACCGACCATTGCGAAAGTTGCTTAACTTTAACGTGCTAACCACTTGCGCCGTCAAGCTCCTTTTTAATATTAAAGGACTAAATAAATCTTTACACTAAAAGATGATTAATTTCCCTCACGTGGGTTTTTTACTATTCGTACAAACCTTACTTTTATTTACACCATATTTAGTATTTTTGGTTTTCTCTCCAGAAACCAAAGCAAGCTCTTTAGTACGTCTACTCTGGCGAACCAAACGACACGAAGACCTTTTATAATTTTAAAAGTATTGACGAGAGTTTTTTAGATATTATAATGAGAGTTGGCAATATTAACAATTGACGGTTTTGCTCAGTGTGACCGAAAAATAAAAAGCAAAATGATGTTAAACTTGACGACAGTGCAATCTTGACGAGTTTTTTTCATAAGCAGTAGCGGTTGAGGTCATTAGCATACTAAATCTTGTAATACCAGATTGAATCATATCCTTTCCTTTCGTCATAATAAGTACATACTTCCAAAAAAAACATTGACTTAACACATCAAAAGTAGTGTATAGGGATTAAGTACGCAACGGACGAGCATGAATAAATTATTCTCACCAATGAAAGTATAATGTCATAATTACTTCTGAATTCTGACACAGACATCAGTGGTAATAATATCGTTTAGTGAGAAAAACGATACATCAAAACAGCGGATATGACTTGTTCATGATAAGAAAATTCTATCAGCTCCCGATGTTTTATCGGCCCGGAGAAAAGTTAGCGGCTTTGTGCTCTAACGATGCAAGGAAGTGGAACTGTAATTATTTATTTGAATAAATAATGAATATATTTATAAATAAATCTATTGCATTATGTATTTCAAGTAGGTATATTGTTTACCTTGTTTTCGACCGTTATGTGAAAATGTACTACATTAATGTATAGAAATTTAAGTCATGTAATCAACTTTTCGAAAAGTCCGAGACACGACCGAGGGGCATGAGGAGGGATGTTAATGCATTCGGCTGCGATCGTTGAAGTTAAGCAACTTTCGCAGTGGTCGGTCAGTGGATGGGTGACCAATAATCTTCTATCTTGAGTTCCTCCGTACTTCGGAAGCCACGTTAAACCGTTGGTCCCGGCTGCATCTGCAGTCGTTAGCACCCGCCAATCCGCACTGGGCAAGCGTGGTGGTTCATGGCGCAATCTCCCTATTCCATCCATAGGGAAGGCCTGTGCTCCAGCAGTGGGGACATTAATAGGCTGATGATGATGATAATGAACACGACCGGGAACTCAACCATCTGGGGAAAAATCCTCCACCTTACAGATGATGAATATTTTGGTGGTGTTGTGTTGCTGTCAGTGAGGGCTCCACAGGGTAGGGCGTTGGTTCAGAGCAGGCAATGGTGCAAGTGATATTTTTGAAGTGAAATTTCTCTAAGCACACTTGACTTGGGGGGTAAGCTGGCGAATGCGTTAAGCGTTACGAAAAGTGTGTTCGGGCGAACGAACGGGAGTTGAGTTGGAGATGTAAGCAAGAGAAAGCAGTGCGCGCGTACAATAGTAATTTACGATACTAGTGAAGTGAGTTGGCTATACCGCACGAATATCATACAACGTTTTTCAACACATTTGCGAGAAAACAGTATAATATTTAGTAACAAAGCAAACTTTTTCTAATTCGAAATTTGCGCACATTTCCACGTGGCGTCACGTGCTAGTGGTGAAAATTAGAACTACATCTTTATGTTTTTATTTTTTTAAGCATTTAACTGCTAGATGTTTAAATCTAAGGAAAAGTTTAACTAGAAAAAAATCCACGCGGACCAGGCAGCGGAATGCACTAATACATTCGCCCGCATTGCGAAGGGTGCGGGTTCGAGTCCCGTCCTCTGCCTGGTCCGCGTGGATTCTTTTTCTGGTAATTTTTTTCTTTGGAATTAGAACTACATCGTTCAGCTCTTATTTTTTTTAGTATTGAAGTGAGCACAACATAAAAATCAAAGGGACTTCCATGGAGGTTCGATCTAAATTAAAAACAAAACGTAAAGGATACCGGAGCTTGCGGTAAAATTTTACCACACGCTCTGTTGAGTTATGCGTAATTTCGAACTTTCGAATAATGTATACAATATCCGTAAAGCATGTTTAGCACATGTGTTGAAAAGTATATTATGAATCGACGTTTTCAGTATTTGTTGTTTAAATACAACATATTATGCGTCAGAATACATCAAAATTTCCATTTTTTTTTTACTTTCCAAGCTTTTACTTTCCATTTTGAGATAGATCCGTAACAAAAATGGTCTTAAAATTACAACTTTGACGGACTTGCCTCTTTTCTTTGTTATTAAAAACAAAAAATATAATTATAGTATTTATGTCAAACTCAAGACAAGAATGTTTCATATGCTGGAGTAAAAAAGGAAAAATTTTTTTTTTCATTTTCTTTTCATGTGGTTAATGAGTTACATAACATTAATTATGGTATTATATTTAGATTACTAGCCCAAAGGCATATAATAAGTTAAAAAATCAATCGAATAAATTCATATTTTTTAGTTCAATCAAATTAAAATATATATATATATATATATATATGTATGTATTTGATCCATTTCATCCATAAAAGAAGACAAAACATATTTTTTGAAATAATTAGATGGATTTTTTAGCTAAATATTCGCCTTTAGGCAAGTTCTTAACTCATTCCGTTTACGATCTAAAGACCCATGACATATGGATAGACAGACAGACGACAGAGTGACAGCTATGTAGTTTTATTTTACCCTTTGGCTACGGAACCCTAAAAATATAGCTACACAATGCACTCGAGGAAGCTAAAGACCGATATAAAGATGGAGGAACATCGTCAAGGACAAATTATATTCGGTTAACTATCTCCGTGACTCTAGTGGCATCTACAATTTGTACACCGGGTTCCAAGGTCTGTCGCCAACTCAGAGGTCCGTTCGAATCTCGGTGCAGAAACTGTAAATCATGATTTCTGATGGATTTTCCATTTCTTTATAAAAACCTTGCCCTGAATTATTCACACACATCAAAAAACATCCCAACATACAACAAAAAAATTAAACATGGCATTTATACGTTCTTTTAAAATAATACCACACACTCTATTAATCTAAGGACAAAGCGAACATTTGAATTTATTCATTATTCCAATCCGTTGCATTCGTTACATTATTCTGATTCAAAACGACATTAGCGTCTCTACTAATAAACAAACAGAAAGCACTTAGCTGTGACCATGAAACGAAGCTCGACAAACAAACACATTCCAACGGAACATGACAACTATAACTACATACAAATGAAAACAATGATTGATTGATGCTTCATTAAACTAAAAAGGTTTTGTAGAAAGAAACGTTACCTTAAAAAATAACTGAATTAAAAAGCTTTCAATCAATGTGATATAGTTTTTCATTCATTCCATGAAAACTATTTATATTAAAAGAGTACCATAAAATCTAAGAACAGAGTAATGTTTAAAAGTTTCTTTTATTGATACGTATAGTAAGATACAAAATTTCGAAATAGGTACCTGGATCAAAAAAATCGGCCTACAAAAATTTGTATGAGAGATCGCCGTTTGTCGTTTATGAACGAAGTAATTTCCTAATACAGAATTCCAAACAATATACTTATCATACACAGAGCCAGTGATATTGAATAAGATAATATAGGTCCCCACAGGAAAAAAGTCCCGTATCTTTTGGCGTGAAAATATATCTTAACAAGCAGAGAAACGTCAAATTCGATGTTTACGATCAATTTGAGCTCAACATTTTCATTTGAAATTGTGAAAATATATTTGCTACCTACAGGAAAATAATTTTATCCTTATTGAACCTTAAAAAGAGGATAATATTACCGAAGTTTAATGTCCGAGACATGATTTTGTTATAACAACGATGATTATTTATGATTAAAAAAAATATCTTTAAACGAACCATGCTTTTAATTATTTTTCTCATTTCCGACGTTTTCGATCCTTTATCGGGTTCCGTGTTCAAGAGAATGTTGTACACGAAATCTGTAAAGTCGTCAGGTATAAATGTAAAATAATTAAAAGCGCAGTTTAAACCTGTTTCAAAAGTGTTTTATTTAATGATTGGTGTGCGTGAAAACATATGAAATATGTTTAATACTATATAACAGCTGCGTTGTGTCATTTCAATGAAGTTATTAGTTTTAGTTATACGAGTATATCTCATTTTAAGGAAACTGTCTGTGTAAGTTCGTATTAGAAATAAAATTCTTTAAACCTAATATCGAATGTAGAGCAATAAAAATACTTGTTGCACGAATGCGCACAAAGTTTCCTTTGGCGGTTTTCAGCGTAGTCGGGCTTTTACCGTCGCGTAGTACCAACGTGCTTGCCAGTCTTCGTATACACCGCGAGTTGGTTAATTCGTGAGTCGTCCGGAACGTAACGATAAAAAAATAAAATTTGAATGATTTTCGAATACTGTAAATTCTAAATTCTAATTTCGAAATTTGTTTTTTTTTTTATAAAATTTACTTAAGCTCTGGTGATTTGTGTTTTGTTTTCTTAAGTTTTTTTAGTTTACGGTGTTGCGGTTTTCGGAATGTGTATGATGGTTTATTGTGATGTTAAAGTGAACTGGTGAGCGACTAGCGGGAAAATTCTTAATTTTCCGATTACTTCGGTTCGAGTTACTGCAGGCTGTGAGGTAATATCTTATGTTTAATAGTCACATAGTATACCAATTTTAAGTTAGTTGAACTTTTTTAAAAAACGTTTAACTAAAAAATACTATACTTCACACCCATACAAAAATAAATTGATTTATATCGATTACAAAATATTCCAATAAAAGGAGCAAATTTGTAAATAGCATACACTTTACGGAATTATTATCCTTTCAAAGTATGTAGTTCCTGAAAGTAGTTTTATTTGAATCAAAGTATGATTATATTGAAATTGTTAAGGTTTCATCATTGCACTTATAGAGTTAACGTGGAGACGTAGTTGACGTACCTACTCTTCGAAAAAAGAAATTAAAGATTTTTTTATGGAAACATAACCACGTTTTCTAATTTAGCTAGTAAAGTTTTTCAGGTACTCAAAATTCACGGTGTATAGTTTTATTTTTCCACAGGGTTTTCAATATGTTTTTTAATACTTTTTTATATAACTCGACGCTTCTTTCGGTAGTAAACCCAACAGTTAAATGCTTAAATTAGACGTAATATTATTTGACCTAGTATTCATTAACGAAAGTTTTATTAAAAAATGTGGAGATTTCAGAACCATACAAATTTGAATAAATACGAATTTATTAAAAGCAATTAGCCTAGCCCCAAAGTAAGCACTGTAAGGCTTGTGATATGGGATGCTAGGGTAACGGATAGAATACATATACTGATACATATATAAGTATATTTATGTAGAAAACACATATTAAACATTCATGACTGGAGTACAAATGCTCGTATTTATTACACAAACATCTGCCCCACCGGGATTCAAACCCGACCTGTCGAGTCGGCGACACCATGAAACGCAGCGTCCGAACCACTCGACCACGGAGGTCGTCAAATGTAAGGTATGTGACGTTTAGTGACTCCTTGATGGTGTGAAAAATCATCATCATCACCACCAGCCTATTAATATCCCCACTGCTGGGGCACAGGCCTTCCTTATGAATGGAATAGGGAGATTGGGCCATGGAAAAATATCAAGTAAATAACTCAAATATATCTGGACATTACCCCAGTTCTCAAGTGATAAGTGCAGTGTTTAGCAGTAGGATAAATTACGAATCTGCAATGAAATAAAATGATCCATGCTGACATGGACAAACTCAACTAATCAAGAAGGCGGCGAAATCAAGGAGTGCAGCATATGTCCTCAACTTTCCCTCTTTCTAGTCAGACCTTCGAACCAGCGCTTTTAAACTATATGTGTGCTGAATTTCATGCATACCCGTTCAGCCGTTTTTACATAATAAAAGTAACAAATATTACAAACATGCAAACACACAAACTGTCATATTTACAATATTATTAGGAAGTGGGATTTCATCGTACACTGATTCGTTGTGAAAAAAGCTTTTCTGAGTGTCACTGGTGTAAGAGTTTTGTGGTATGAAGTGTCTCATTTTCATACGTACTACAAGTTTTAATGGAGGTATGGAATAGCTGATTATTAACACGTTTTTGTATCGTGCTCTTATATTTTTTTTTTTTTTTTTTTTTTTATATTACTAGGTAGGCAAATGACTCTACCCCACCTGATGTTAAGTGGTGATAAAGTCCAAACGCGAAGATAGCTGGTACAGCAGTTATTAACTGCTACACCAACCATCCTCACCTTGCCGGCCCGCAAAAATGCTTCTTCACGCCTCTCTTAAAGGACCCCAGATTATAGGAAGGAGGGAACACGTGCGCGGGTAAAGAATTCCACTTACGAATAGTACGACAAAGAAATGAGTCGCCAAATTTCTTTGTTCGTGTAGGAATAGTGGCCACAGTAAGTCGATGGCAACGTAGGCCAGCGCGCGTGGTCCTCTGAAGAAAAGGTGATGGAGGGATAAGCAAGAATAGCTCCTCAGAACACTCGCCGTGGTATATTCGGTAGAATGCGCTTAATGATGCCACATCACGGCGTAATTGTAGAGACTCGAGTTTCTTAGTTGCCTCTTCATCGCCAATGATGCGGGCAGCGCGCAGCTGCAACCTATCCAAGGCATCGAGTAAGTACTTTGCGGAGCCATCCCAGAGGTGCGAGCAATATTCCACGCAGGACCGCACTTGTGTTTTGTACAACAAGCACAGTTGATCGGGCGTGAAAAAACGCCGCACCTTGTTCAGGACTCCGAGTTTGCGTGAAGCTGTTTTGATCAACGTTTCGATGTAGTCCTTTGGATTCAGGTCTGAGCGAACTTCCATACCGAGCATGGTAATATTGCTCTGTAGCGCCAGTGTTGTGCCCTGAAGAGAGGGAAGGGGAAGGAATGGCGATGTTTTTGCCGTGAAAGCGCAAGCCTGAGTTTTCTTGGCATTGAACTCAACCAAGTTCCTAGTACCCCATTCGGAAATGTGGTCTAAAGCCCGATTGAGCTCAACGACAAGATTCTCCCGTTTCTCCATGGTTTCTACCTGTCCAGCCGCCGCGTGTCTAAAGTATCTCGCATGCACTGTGCTATCGTCTGCATAGCAATGAATATTCGCAAGTGGAATCAAATCATTGATATGCAGCAGAAAGAGTGTGGGGGATAGAACGGAACCCTGAGGAACACCGGCATTCACTGACATGAACTGCGAACTACATCCGTCCGTAAGGACACGAATTCTACGCTCATGCAGGAAGTCAGCTACCCAGGCGCAGAGCTGAGCAGGCAGACCGTATGCAGGAAGCTTGGAGAGAAGGCTCTTGTGCCAGACCCTGTCAAAAGCCTTGGCGATGTCAAGGCTAATAGCCAGAGACTCTCCCCGCTTGTCTATAGCTTCACCCCAGATGTGTGTCACGTACGCTAGAAGGTCACCCGTCGATCGATTCGGCCTAAATCCGTATTGACGATCGTGAATTAGAGAGTAATCTTCTAGGTAGCGGGTCAGATGGTTGTTAAGGACCCTTTCTAAGACTTTACACAACACTGAGGTGACAGCTATCGGCCGATAGTTGGCCGGGTCTGAGCGGTCCCCTTTTTTGGGCACCGGTTGCACATTGGCGTCTCTCCAAGCTTCCGGCACACGCCCCAAAGAGTAAGAGAGTTGGTACAGTCGCGTAAGCACGGGAGACAACTCCGCTGCACAATGTTTTAGAACAACTGCTGGGATGCCATCGGGTCCACTAGCTTTCCGGACGTCGAGTGATTGCAATTCCGCACGAACATCACGCTGCCTGATTTTAATGTCAGGCATCGTAGTGCCACAATGAGGTAGTGTAGGTGGCAGTGCATTGCAATCACTGATTCGGGAGTTAGCCGCAAAGAGCTTTGCCAACAAATCGGCTTTCTCTTGCGGCTCATGAGCTAGTGACCCATCTGGACATCGCAGAGGTGGCAGCGAGGGCTGGCAAAAGTTGTGTTGAACGGCCTTAGCCAAACGCCAAAAACTACGGGAGCCCGTAGGGTGCGTTAACAATTCGTGGCCAGTACGTGCTACACGTTGGGCATCCGCTCTGATGTAAGCCTTCTTACAAGACTTGGAAGCACTATTATAGGCAGCTTTCAATGAGTTAACCCCGGGATCCTTAAGAGCGCGGCCTCTGATCCAAGCGCGATATGCCGCCTGCTTACGAGAAACAGCATCGGCACAATCGCGATTGAACCAGCGGTTACGTGTGCCCTTACTGATGAGATCAGAATGTGGAATGTAATACTCCATTCCCATTACGATCTCCTCAGTAATGGCAATGGCACTGGATGATAGGTCCTTTTCATTGAAGCAGCGCTGCTTCCAAGGGACAGACGCAAAGTAATCGCGCATACCATCCCAATCTGCCGACCCATAGTGCCAGACCCTGCGTTTGACCACCAATGGTCGAGGGGTTTTGGCCTGTGGCACCTTGACAGATATCAGGCAATGGTCTGATGAACCCAGTGGGGCTCGAACCACAATCTGATACTCCTGCGGATGGGTCGTAAGCAGAAGGTCTAGTAAAGAAGGCGCTTGACTTGCTATATCTGGGATCCTGGTGGGCTGATCAACCAGTTGTGTCAGGTCGTGCGTGAGAGCGAATGCATGGGCAGAGATCCCTGCATGGTCAGTTTTGGAAGAGCCAAGCCACAAACCGTGGTGGGCGTTAAAGTCTCCCAAAAACACAAGTTCTGCGTTGGGAAATTGCGCCTGGGCATCATCTGCTACCCTACTGAGGTGGTCAAACAGTCGAGTTGTCTCAGCGTCGCCGGTGTGAGATCTGTAGAGGCACACGTAGACTCTGGCCAAAGGACCAGAGTCTACATGTACCGCCAACATGGAAAAGGAGGGGTCTTCCAGGCAGCTCAAACGGCGACAACAAACATCCGCCCGAACATACAGGCATACGCCGGCTTTTGCTTTGAAGGATTCTTCAAGCGCGTAGCCGGGATATTTAAGGTAGCCTGTGTCAGCGGGCGGAAGTATTTGTGTCTCCGTGAGAAACAATAGTGCTGGCCGTGCTGTCTCAAGATGGTGGTGGACAGCATTGAGGTTAGAGTGGAGTCCGCGTATATTACAGAACTCAACCTCAAACAGCGCGGAAGGCGTGGGGGTGTGCACCGCTGTACAACCAAACTTTATTTTACGGGCTGCCATCATGAGAAAAAAGTTGAGAGACGTGAATCGAGTGGAGTTAGTCGCGACAAAGACAGGCAAATATATGGAGGCACGTTTTCCCGAGTAACTGCCTGCGAAAGAGATACGCCGACCCAACGGACGGAAGGGCCCCCGCACCCTCCCGGGAGTGGCCGCCGGGACCCCACGCCCCGGTCACCAACCGGCACGACGGTCCACCCCGAGATTATGCGTGACATGATAGGGCAGCCTCACGAACTGGTTAGGAACGCTCGGGCCCCTGTACTGTGCCACGGGCGGCCAGCGGGACAGCCGTTTCTACGGGTCTCCCTGGCCGGTGGGTCGATGCAGTCCTCCCGGCATCGGTTCGACGGATGCCTCCACTGGACCGAATCTGTCGCGGCAATCTCCACTCGAGCTCTGGTTGTACGCTGGCTGATCCCGAAACGCG